GTTTTACTGGAAGGACCAGTGCTGGGAAAAGACAGCAGCCTTTTTCTTCCCCACAGACAGTGCAAAAGCCCCTTCTGTACACACGGAAGATACAGAGCTGAGGAATAACCTCTCTTTGATGCATCAGCCCCTTTGTGAATACTGAAGCATAAAGTATAAGCATCTTGTTCTTCTCTTCAAAGAAATCTTTCTTTCCCCCTCAGCAGCCACTGAAAGCTAAACCTTGGAATTTTGTGCTGATCTTGGGTCCTCATTGTGTTAGGAAGTTTAAAGTCCAGATTCCCTTCCCTAGCTGTAAACCATACAATCATCATCAGAATGATTCTGTTATCTCTTTATGAAAGGCATGAATTGGGCCACATACGCTACTGTGTATGCATGTTCCTGTTCCTCATTGTATTTCACCTCCTGTATCATGTTGCAACAGTGCAAAGCATGCAGAAAATGCTCTTCAGTACAATTAGAAGCATTTTACATCAGTTTTGCAAATAACTACTGTGTACAGGTACTGAGAAATCAAGCCTAGTATCTCAATGAAATTCCCAGTTTATTGGGATAAGTCTTCATCTGTTGCCAAGGTGCTCATAGCATTACAGAAGTAACTAAATAATAGTAACAAATAAAAGCAATAAATATATGAATTAGCACAACTATAAAATTAGCAAACACTCTGAAAATTTGCAGAGGTAGAAATTTTAATCAGAGACAAATCACAAAGGATTTTAAGCGATACTTTGTACTGGAGTTTTCAGCATGTAGCTGCCCTGCATAATTAAAACAAGCCCATCTCAAAAAAAGGAAGAATTTAATCTTCTGATCATTAGATTTAAAGCTGGCTCTGGGCATTTTACTCTTAGTTACAGCAACTGGACATGAGGAAGCTGGAGGAGGTTTAAATTAATCCTGGAGTTAGCTGTTTTCTTTTAGTTACCCCTCAGACATTACTTAATACTTACTTTCTTTCTGGAAGTTCCTGCATATTAAATCTTCCTGATGCCAGAAATTCTCAGTGGAACATCAATGTAATAATAACCACTTCTCACATCATTCCTGATCCCTGTGACTAACTTGGGCAGATTTGTTGTTGGTTGCCAGAGGCAACAAATTCTGATTGATGGTTGCTATGAACTTTCCACTTGAGAGGTGGGGCTTGTGCTCTAGTGTTTCCCTGGGCAGTGCAGACCAGAAGAGATGGTGGAAGAAAATAAGCAAATTGGATCAGCAGCTGCATATAAAGAAATGCAATCTTTATATATAAATATAAAAAAATCCACTTAGATCCCAATCCAGCAAACATACGTAGACTTTATATATACAAGCAGTAGTCATATGCTTAAGTTTTTGCCAGATGAGAGCTATAGTTTATGAAAGTTTATGCATGAGAGTTGTGAAATCAGAAAAAATATATGCCTTAAACTTTGACTATTTTAGTTATAAGATGACATAACCGCTTTGTGGAGAATTGCTGGCTCTGTATAGTAGAACAGATAAGAGAAAGTGTTTGTTCTTTGTAACTCCTCTGCAACTGCTTCGCTCACCGCGGCCTTGAAGATAGCAAAAAGTATGTACAACTCTGATTTGCAGGTGCAAGAAGGAGGTTTGTGAACTAACCTCGCCTCCCCCATTAGTTCCCATCCTGATTACAGCAAAAAAATAATGAAGTAATATTATAGCCGCTTTTCATGCTAATTTCACTATATGATCACGTGAGTTATAAGCAACTGTTAAAAAGTATATAAGCCTCCTGATTTTGCTCTTGGGGGGGGACCCCTTCCAAGTGCTTGGGAAATCCATGTCACTTTGGAATCCCCCCTACAGCTGTAGTTTCTTTTGAATAAAAGCTTCTGCTGACCTGACCCAAAAGTATGCTGCGTGTGTTTCCACGACAGAGTTTAAGTGATATTTTATCATACTGGTTATGATAGAGAAATCTGCAAGAGGTAAAGTTACTTCCAGTGTACAGTATTCAGAAAACCTGCTCTCTTCTTTCATGTGTTACATTAAAGTTTCAGTCACAATTATGATTATGAGTGATCATGAAAAGACAAATTTCTTCTTTAAATATGTATAAAATGAAAAATAAAGTGGCATAAAATATTTACATGAAGCTTGCTTATAAGTTTTGGAAACATGATTTTATCTGCCATTGTGCGACTCATAGCACAACTTTCTCTGTCTAGTTCAAGTACATTGTACTGTCTGAAAGAATTTCAGGCTGCATTTGAACCATTTTCCCCCAGAGATTTACTTTATTAGCATTTTATTTAATGTGCCTGTTTGTGTCATTTAAGCTTTGCTTTACGTTTTATATTCTGTTTTGATTCAGTGTAGATAAGAAGCATATGCATTTTCATTCCTCCCCCACCATAATACTACTTTGCGAAGCAAAACATACTAGGTATTCTACAGAGGTGTTGTTATAACAAGATTAGTAGCTGGAAGTTTTCAAAGACCTGTTGGTGACTCCTTGGGAATCTCTGAACAGTGTAATTTTTCTACTCTGTCCATTCAGTTCTTGGTGCCTCTGCCAAAAACCAGTCAAATACAAATGGTCTTATTATAGGCGGGTCTACATTATTAAAGGTAACCCAAATATTTTTACCTAACATTTACCATTGTGACTAAAACTTTCTAAACTGTGTATCTACTGAAGACTGAATTATTTTCAGCCAAAAGGTTCAATTGTTTCCAAGATCAAGGCTAAGGAAAAATTCATTTTTTGTCCCCTGTTAAAAAAAAGTCCCAGTTTCTTCTAGAAGCCCTAGTGTCCTCATGCTTTGAAACAGGGACTTGAAATTTGGGATATTGTGCCCTTCATGTCAGAGATGTGACTTTGACCATCCCTGTGAAACTCTGCCAAACTCCGACCAAATTAGAAGCCTATGAAGAACTGCAGGTAGTATATGCTTACTAGGGTAACTAGAACTTCATTGCTTAATTGCCCAAAGAAAGTGAACATGATCTAGTATAGGGCTGAACAGGAGTTCATCTTCAGTTGCAGTTCTTGGATGCTATGCAAAAAAAGGGAGGTACAAGATGGAGGAATAAAAGTGTTAATAACAATACAACAATAAAAACTTGAACCATTAAAATTAAAAAAAAAAAAAAAATCGGGTGTAAAGTCACATTAAATACTCTCATGGCACACAGGGACCATCCAAATAATGATTCCCACCAATGGGATTGGGAATTGTAGTGTGTGTTTGTTTAACTTTTCCTAACACTTTGGTAATCTCATGGTTATGAGAAATTAATATTAGAATTTGTTCTGCTTGTTGCTCCCTCTGTTTTGTTAAAATTTGCTAACTCAGAGAGTTTCATTAGTTGTTCTAATACATTTATATTCATTCCTAGTCTGATACTACAATATCAGTATATGGTGTGAGATTATGAATTAACAATCACACAGTGATTACAGGAATTTTGAACACACAATCATATCCACTTATGCTAATAACTGTACAACTACACATATTACTACTACTATCTATGGTTTGATTATATATTTCATTAATAACAAAAGGGACACAGAGTGTGTAAACAAATTCATCCTTGTCCAGTATACACTACAATAGAATTGTCACGCTGCTGTGATGTTGTTAATACAAAATCATGTGCTGCTCTCTAAATCCAAACATGTATCTGCGGCAGTCTAAGACACAATTTTTACAAATGAAGATTGTGCCTTAGACAATCCTTGTTCCATGATACATTCTTCTAGACTGACTGTTTTCCAACCTTTTTCCCTGAATGTAGACATTTTCTTAAAAATACTGGCATTATAGTGGACCCATTAATGATCAATCCAAATGAAACTATGGGATAAATTCTTTGAACTCCAGCTACCATTAGGGTAAGAATATAACCTATAATTAATTATTGTTTTTCATTGTAAGTAAAATTGCCAAGTTTCCACCAGGTCGTTAATTGGTGCTCTATATCTGAGGCAGTATCCCATACAATTTTCCTAATTGCTGCTGGTAACATTCCACTGTCTCCTTCTCAAATCATGACTGATATTATAATCTGCACCCACATTTGAGCTTGCATTTGGATACGTCCAGTGATACATTTTCTTGGGGGACTCTCAAAGCCTTTAAATGCACTTGATGGTCCTGCTCGTGTTTTTTCCTGTTCAGATACTAAATGAGCAGTGAACCATTGTCCTCCCACTGAATGACTGGGATGAGTGTAGAGGTACTGCCAGTTCTTTAGCTTGTGCTATTACTGCAATCAGTTTGTTCACCAACACCTCAACATTCATGGTGTTTAGAATGCTTAATCTTGTTCCCACCTCTCCTTAGAGCCATTGTCATCCAATTTCTTTTGACACAACAGCATTTAGCAAGGGGTACGGACTATGTATCCATTTAAACCATCCAGTTTCTAAGATGTGTGTAAAAGCAGAACAATGGGGATATATGGCAGAAATGTTAACTGGGTTTAATAATAACATTACCTTTTTGAAGGATCAAATTGGCTTGATAATTAACTCTTGAACTATAAACTGAGGTCGGCAATCATTGCTGAAGATAGTAAAACCTTCTGTCTACTTGTATCAAATGAAACAGCTAATTTAAATTATAACTTTGAAATAGCACATTCAATATAACATTCAAATAGCACATCTCCTCAAAGCACAATGGAAGAATAAAGTCCTAGGCCCAGATAAAATATCGGTATAAGTTTACATTCATAACATCAAATGGTGGGCTCCAATCTTGGAAAAATGGTATAACTCTATAACTGAGTTGGTCCAAATCCCAGATTCCTGGAAAAGGAGTATTATTGTACTGATTTTCAAGATAGATATGAAGGAGTGAGTGAGGATGCAATGAAAAGACCCAGGAAATGCCGCTTCCAGAGCCATTACCATTTTAAGATAGAAGCTCTGAGATCAGGGTGAGGCAGCAGGACAGGAGTTCCAATGAGAAAAAAAAAGCAGAGCTCAAAGGAGAAAACAAGGGAGAGAGAGAATCCCCAGGGGATCCACAACTTACCTGAAAAGCATCTAGCAATGCCGTGTGGAGAATGGAACCCCTAGAGCGAGGGGCGGATCCCCAGTGAGAGAAACTGCGTGGGATGCATCTTCCACTGAGGACAAAAAAAATGGAAACAAAGAAAAGAAGAGTGTGAAGTTGACTTGTGCTCCCAAGTTTAGAGACGGTGCCTGATTGCCCTTTCAAGAGGATTCGGGGCATCAATCATATACAAAATATAGACTGGTTTGCGGATAGAAGACCACAACAAGAAAAGAAAAGAAAACAAGCAAACAAAACAAAGAGAGACTTTATTTGTGAATACAAAGTTCTGTTCATCCAAGTTAATAGTGAGAGGATAAGGTCATTATATAAGCAGAGCTACAAAGTTGGTATTATAGATAAGGTTAAAGGGATAGCAGGACACAAAGTGACAGTTTTTGTCTGAATGTAAAGAAAAATTGTACAGAGTGGTAAAAGACAAGAATAAAGACAAGTATTTATCCAAATCAGACTGCAATTATATATGTAACTTTGAGTGCAGGCTAATATCTGGGGAAGAGCATGAGAGATAATTTATCCATAATATCTGTGGACCTCTAATAAAGACATAATAAGGAGTGGACAAAAAATAAATTAATTAAATAAAATAATAACCCACCCGACGAGTGACATCCAAAATTAGAATATATAATAATAACATCCAAGGCGTGGCAGGAAGGAAAGTCGGGGGTACCGACTGTTCATTGGACAATGATATAGGGGTACAGAGGCATCACAAGCCAGACTACCACAATAGGTTTAAAAGATAAGCCAGAACCTTATCGCCCTATAAGTTTGATAGATGTTTCAGCCAAAATTTTGGGGCGCCATTTGTTATATCATCTCATAGCATGGGTAAAACATATTACGTGAACAACAGACCGGATTTAGGGACAGATATTCCATATTCTTCAATTTTTGAGACATAAGTATATGCATATGCGCAAATCAGCACTGTATATTGCATTTGTCAAGAGACTTGTCAAGAGCTTTTGATAGTATAGATAGAAGTAGATTTTGGGAGAAACTGATAAATTATGGGATTGACCCTTCTCTTTTGCTTTTGTTGATAAATTATAAAGATGCATGGGCCCAAATTAGGTGAGGCTTGAAGGGTGAACTTACACAAAAGCTTCACATACAAAAAGGGGTTAGACAAGGCTGTATTTTGGGCCCTTTGTTATTTAATCTTTACATGAATTATATTATTGGAAATATGCAGGATGCACATTTTCATCCCCCAAAATTATTAGGAACCCCAATTCCTATTTTAATGTATGCAGATGACACTGTTATACTGTCAAGAACTATTGGATTACAGACAGCAATTACAATTTTTGAGCATCTTTGTGGATAAAATAACTTAAAGATAAATTATGATGAATCCAAAATAATGTATTGGGGAAGTCATTTGATGAAATATCCATGGAATATGGGGGGAACCAATCTTGAAATGCTTAAATATTTAAAGCATTTTAAAGCATTTAAAATGCTTTAAAATGCATTTAAAATATAAAAATATTTTAATGCATATTTAATAAAAATATTTAAAAATTAAAAAAATATTTTAAAATTTAAAAATATTTAAATGCTTTAAATTTAAATATTTAAAGCATTTTAATACCTTGAAATGCTTAAATTATGCTACGTAGAAATGATTAATAATCCCCCTCCTCTCCAATCACCCTGGTTAGCTTTTCTTTCCCTCACTTTTGCACTTTCTGGGTTGGGATACTATTTCAAAGATAATGAAAGATCTTTCTCCTACATATAAAAGGTTTGGGTTTTCCAGAGCATACAAGATATTGCCAGGCAGAATGATTCTGCAGTGGCTAGGGCTACTCGCAGGGCTACTCACATTGCCCCTTTATATACTCTATGGAAATTAGATTTGGAGGGAGAAAGATATTTACAGTTGGATCTCAATAATAAATGGCAATCCTCTTTGACCAGACTCAAGACCAAAACAGATGCCCACAGCTGTTCTGGCTAGACGTAGATTTTCCATTCCAAGATCTAAAAGATATTGCCCAGTCTGTCTAGGAGTTTTGGAAGATACTATCCACTATGTATTGGACTGTTCTTTATATAATGACATAAGGAGAACCTATTTATTACCATACTTGCAAAAATTGATACATTTCTCAAGCAGAGATAAATTAATTTGGCTTTTACAGCAAACAGATCCAAATGTAGGAAACTGTCTCGCAATTTTCGCTTACAAGGCTGAGGCAATTAGAGTTAAATATCCTTTATTACTGATATGAGTGATACATTTTAACATTAGACTTGATTTTATTGTCTCGGTTGTGGATCTATGTAAACAATATTATAGATTCATGTCTTGATTTACTACTATATTTATATTGATATGTTTTTATATTAATGTGCTTATATTAATGTTTTTAGGTTGGTGGGCTCTATTTTTAGTATAATATTTGTAGTTAGGTTACCTTGTTCACATTTATTTATATTATGGGTATATGTGTGTTATGTCGTCTTCAGGAGCATAACATTTAGCCAGAATCCTTACTAATAAATTAAAATAAAATAACTCTTGGACTTGATCCCTTTTAACTACAAAGAACCACGCTTGAGAAAGATTGGGTGCTAGTACAGGTATCACAAGAACATTTTCTACATTTTGGCCTGGTTTTTCAATAGTCCACACTCCTATACACTTTAAGGTCATAGTTACATTGAAGGTCCCTACAACCTAAGTGGCCACTGTGTCCTTTTCACAAGGGCCACTTTGAGTATACCAATGGTTGCCATGCCTGTTTTCTAGAAAGCTCACACATAATACAGTGACTTTCTCCATGTGGGTCTGTTATGATCATATTTACACTACTATTCAGGTGTTCTTCACTAGGGTCAGAATTGTTCCATTGGCTATATTGAATTACAAAGGGGATGCTTTCTTCCAGGGGAATGTATTTGGGAGCTTGCCATTCTAAAATCCTGCAAAGCCCATTGGATGTCTTTATTATCCCAAGTTGAAATTGTATAGATGTTGACTGTTCCCTTTGGTATGAATAGTGAAATTTAAAGGTTCCTATAACAAGGGTGTCACGGCGCAGGGTCCTGCGGGACGGCCATGATCTCCCTAAGGCCCCTTTCCCATGCCAAGTTGGCCCAAAGGGCACCCTCACTTCTTTCCCGCCACGTCTTTGATGGAGTATAAATATATGGGAGGCTGCCTTGTGTCCTTTTGGACATAGTCTGTTGCACTATCTGACCCCGTGGACTCCTGGACCCCTTGTGGGTCCCGTTCTGCAATGGGTGCTGTAGGGGCACCCTAGCCTTATGGGCTATGCGTGGCTCCAACCACCCCTTTACCATGCCCCAAGCCTCGCAGATGGAATAGACGTTGTTAGGTCTCGGCCTTGCTGTAGTCTGGCCCCTTGTCCTCTCTGGGCCCTACCTCTTTTGATCTGCGCCCTCTCCGGTGCTAGGGCTCTCCACGGCCCTGTCTCACTATGTCCCCTTCTCTTGGGGATTCTCCACAATGCTGCCCCCTTCTCTTGGGGCTTCTCCACAATGCTGCCCCCTTCTCTTGGGGCTTCTCAACTGCCCCTCTGTGGGGCTGGGGTCAGTGCACCCCAAATGCTGCACCACTGGTGCTGGGGTCCCCACACTGCTGTGGGTCCCCTATGAGGCCTCCTCCAACCCCTATTAGCCTCACCCAAACCACCAGTGACAAACAGCAACACAAACGCAAGCCCCTTGGCTATAACATAAACTGAAGCTGCCCAGCTATAACCACGTTCAAGCCTACCGGGAAATACTCCATCCCTCAGCTGTCAGACGCTGCTCCTTCAGTTAGGCTGCTCCTCCCTTCTATGAGAGAGCTCCTTCCTCCTTGGCTGCTGGCAGGGAACTGCTCTGGCCTCAGCCCCTAGGGTTTTTAAGGGAGCCAGGCCCTGCCCCTTTCAGTCAGCTGACCACTGGCAGGTGTGATCGCTTGCTAGCTCCAGTTGCCCTGGCAACCCACAGCTGTGCTCCTTATTTTCCCTAGCAGTTTCCCCTCCTTAGGAGCAGGGCGCCTCAGTGCTCTGCGACAAGGGGACTAAGGGCTCCTATTACTTTAAAGGTGGAAAAGGAGCCAAAAAAGCCTCAGGAGAGGAAGGCTGCTCATTATGCATTGGAAGAGATCAAGTACCCAAGGATTTTACCTACTATAACTACTTAATGCAGAGCTAGCAATGACCAGCAGCAGTAAGCTACCCTGGAGTTAAGCCAGCAAGCTAAAATCAGGAAGCATCTGCAGCCAGCCCAGAAAGCCTCCTGACTGGAAGAGGACAGGGCCCAGGATGCTTATAAACCCAGGTCCTGAGCCAGGGTAGGCAATCTGCTGCTGAAGGCCAAAGAGTAAAGATGTCTAGTGTGAGGTGGCTATTGCCAGAAGACTGACTGAGACCCCACCAAGCCTGAGAACAGCAAGTGAGGAGCAGAGACACTGAATGAATGGAGGTTTTCACTAGCCAGCTAGTGGGCTTAGATTTAAGTTGCAGCCAGTGGTTTGGGTCAAACTATTAGGGGTGAGAAGAGCTTCCATTAGTGCCTGAGGGGTGTGTATTTGTTGTGAATTTTGCCAGGTGCTGGGGGCTCAAGGCCCAGAAGCAACTTGGGTTAAACGGGTTGGTAGCTGAGAGAAAGGCTGAGTGCTGCCAGGGCAGCTATAGGCTGAATTCAGTTACCTGGTGGGCCAGATCCAGCCCACAGGCTGTATTTTTCCCACCCCTGCCATAAGGCAATGGGTCCCTTGGGAGGAACATATGGGCCAGGAGGGCCCACCTGATGTGGGGAGTGGAGGAGGGGCTAGACTGAGATCAGCAGGAGGGATCTGTTGTCAGGAAGATAAACAAAGGCTCACTCTTAGATCCTTGGGCAGCCTCCCTTTTCAAACCTATTATGAAGATCAAGGCATGGCAGGAGAGAGACAAATGCGAGGATAGCTTAGAGACTGAGTCAGGCAGGAGCCATTTGACCACAAGGGGGCATCACAGCTATTATGGTTACATTAATGTAAAATTGTACCAACCTCTGTTAATTTCAC